TTTACGTCCAATAAGCCCGACGAGCGAACAAGCCGGTTGCCAAAAGTTCTTCCAATTTAAAAGGAGGAGACAGATGAATAAGCAGCGAATTATTTATTCGATCCTCGGAGTTTCGATTTGCGCTTTTTTATGCTCCTAACGAGTTCCGGTTCACGAGACTTCCGGGAGAATTTGTTCGACAACAAGAGTATCGTTTGACATTCGGTACTCGATGAATTTCATCCGGACAGCAATTGTAATAATGAGATCGAGAAAACTCGGAGAAATTCAATTGTCACTCGACACGTGTCCTTGTCCTATGATCTTTGTTCGTTGTGAAGAACGCGTTCCGGACGATATCACTTTTTGACTTTCTCCGCTTTATCTTCTTGGTTCCATCCTCTTCCCTATGACTCCTGTAGTCCTACCCCTCAACAGTTTCCTGCTTTACGACATACGTACGTACAAGTTTAGCTTTCAGGTCAATTACCAACGAGTAACAGTTCAATCGAATTCCAAAAGAAAAGGATTCCTCGTCGTAAACCATTCGACGAATCCTTTAATCGACAATGGTAAAGCTGCGAGTCGGTGTCGCGGGAGTGACGTATGCATTACACCCTGGCCCAACCACGAGAGAGCTTTTAGAGTTCGAATACTGTCAGAATAATAGATAAATGTCAAAAACAATGTATACGCAATTACCGTCAATCTGCAACGCGCTGCTGATTAGAAAATTTATAACCAATGTCGATTAGCTCGACGGTACTTGTGAGCAGACTAAAAATTTGACACCTACAAAGTCTTTGATATTTTGATTATGCCGATAAACGTACATTTCGGGTAAACGATTATTTATTTTAAAATCGAATTTATGAAATTTATACTAATCCAGATTACAGCGATTCCCACGTGAACGTATAATTATGTACAATTTGAAATGCATACTCAGGTCCCAAAATAAATGCGCACCACCAGCACATTTGATACGTATACACTCACGAGACGGGAATTCAATGGGAATTGAGAGTGAACGACGTGTTTCACTTGCGCAATTGAATTAGTTCCAGGGACAGGATTTTACGGAATAAAAGAGTGAAGAATATTTGGGGGGGGGGCTGGGCTGATTGGAAAGTTCTTCGAGTTCAAAATGAATTAGAATCGAGTCACGCTTCACAGTCTCGTATCGCTTCATTTTCTATTTTTCTCTTGGATTTGCATTTACCATTTTTCTCTTTCTTCCTAACCAATTCTGACCATCCCCTCACTTCGTTAATCCACAGGCTGTTTCATGTACTTCGGACAAACCCGTAGCAATAAATTCGCCCACTTTCCTCACTTTACAATTGAATTCTGAAGCACTTTCGAAGGAGTCTTAAGCAAGGAGTTCCTATTCAAAGGTCTAATTAAAACTCAAACCTTCATGGAGCGTAGACTCATGTTTCTCATAAACACTAAACTCCCAATTCCCATCTTGTCAAGAACATTCTTCAACGTGTAAATTAATTTTTTAAAATTTCTTTTATTCAGCACTCGAAATCTTAATTCGTTTCTAATTAAAAGAAATTTCGTGAAATTACAAAATTCTAAGTATCACCGATAAACCACCTTAAACGCATCTCGAAAGATCGATCGATCTTGCAAACACAGTTTTACTGTATCCACGCCTTAGAATCCCAATAGTTCTGGCATCGTATAAATTCATGCAACGAACGCATGCACTTGCACCACGCTAAAATGCAAAGTCGGAGTATTCAAAAGTGTTTGCGGAGCGACAGAATGCACGGAGCAGCGTGCATACAGAACGAGAGGAAAAAATGGAAGAAACTCCGATAGCTTGATCCGAAAAACGTGCACGACCGGAAACAGGTCAATTAAAGCTCGCGATCCGATGGGGGAAAAAAAAAAGAGAGAAAAGATGCAAAAAAAAGAATGAATAAGGGAACACGACAAGTAAAGTGGGAAAGAGTAGAAATGAAAAAAAAAAGAAAAAAAAAAATTTGAAAACCACCACCATGTAACATTGGATGCCGACCAATGGAGATGCGGCTTATCTGACCCAACCTACCGGCCCACATCCAAACCCAATCCCAACCAAAAGAGACGGACCGGCTGGAATCAAAGAATTAAAGAGTTCACCGAAGCGCGTGGACTGACACAGTTTTCCACTCGCATCCGATTTATGTACGTCAAACGCTCGTGATTGAATTAGACCACGGGAAAACGTCCTTTCCAAATTTACCGGCACGATGCCGGCTTCCAATTCTACCGATCACTGAAGATCCAGATAGATTCTGTTGACATAAAGATTAACGTAGTGCACGTGTAACGTGACGTCAAGTCAATATTGATCCTCAACGTTGATCCAGGGCGGCGCCTGACGGATCGATCATTCCTCAAGATGACACGTATAGTTCATCCTTCGAGAATCTTTGGAAGAATGATGCTCTGTTGACGGTCCAAGTAAGGCAAGTAGTTTGAGGAAAAAAGGGTCTTCCGGGACTCTCTGCTTCAGGACAGGAATTCCAAGGTACTAATGTCAATATGATAATGATTTCCATATTTGAGGGTTGCCTGTCGAGAGGAACTTCCATATCGGCATCCGGGACACGCGTTCCGTCGACACCTTTCACGGAATTCTGATGAGTTTTCTTTTCTTACATTTTTCCTTATCCTTCTCTGCCCTCCCGTTCGCCGCGTGTGGGACGCGAAGAGAGGAAGAGCGAGAAAGAGCCGAAGACAGAGGACCGGCTAGGAATATGGTCGAGGAGATAGAAGAGAAGGTAACAATGAGATGGGATGATATTCTACCACAGTGTAAAACAGGCTAACGTAAAATCTCCCTGTTCTACGACGCTTCGTTCCAATGGAGGCATTACGTAGATTTTTTTTCTTTTGTTTGTAGAGAAATCCCATTGATCCTTGAAGAAGGAAAGAAAAGGACCCTCCGAATGATGTTACTAAATTACCTGTCCTTTGCACCCTAGAACCACATAAGACTCGATTTCACTTTGATACGTAAAAAAGACAGCCACCCATATCGAGACGCCTCTGTTTTTCTCGTTAAAGGATTTTCAAGACAGCGCAAACACTGAGATAGACGTTGTCACAATATTCTTCGAGCATTCTTTTTCTACTTATTATCCGACGCCAGACATTTTCCGAATAACTCTTTCAAAAATTCTAATTTCATCGCATCGTAGGAAATATTTGCCATTTTCGAGACAATCGGTTCCAGTAATAACCGAGGACTGCCATTTCTTTTCGTCTTTCTCCTCGTCTAACAAATTGTGTCCTCGGTCTTTGAATCTTCACTTGAGTTCACATGACGCTTTATAGTTATCGTCCAAACGTCCTTCGTGAAAATAGCAAAACCATGGAGAAAACAGACTCATCTGAATTCCTCCTCTCTCTGTACTATATCTCGAAATCTCAGGATCTCCGGAAATAGAGTCACCGGTAGCTCAGCTCCCGAACACTTAGTCTGGATAAAGAAGTTCACGTGCTCCCGCAATCTGGTAATCTGTCAGGAGCGTCCAAGTACACAATGGTTCAAGTCTTGCTTCGTCTGGTCCATCCTCGCCAGGATACTTCTGGCGAAAGAGGTTAGCACGATTCCATCCAAGGTTCCTTAGGAGATCCGGATTTTCCTTGGTCGTTGCCATCGGCCATTAAGCTATCGAACAAGTGCTGTTGTAATTGTCAAGAAAGAATAGTGCACCAAGACGACAGAGAGGAAAAGCTAGTACACAGAAAGACCCTTCATCCCTTGTTGATTAACAGATTTTTAAGTAATACGAAAGTCTCCGAGTTCCACGTACGGATTCTCTTTTGAATGCAGCATAGCCTGAAATCCCTTTAGAAAAATACGCCACATGATCTTACAATGGAATTGTCTTCTCGAAATCTCAACCTACCTCTTTGTATCACTCTTCCATCTTTCCTTTCTCGGGGTGGCAGGAACACTGAGGGTAGCTACCCTATTCTCCTCCTGCCAATTCATTGGTCCATTGCTGAATGTATAATCGCCGCAAATGCTTTACCAACCACCGAGAGTAAGAACCTTCTATCTTCCATTCTCTCAGTTTCCCTCCATCCCTGTCCTCGTCTCTTCGCTCGACTCCCATTTTTTGTTAACATCAGAGTTCCCCGTCTACACAGACTACCAAACGACCTTCTCTCCAGAGATCGCTCGTTCGTTCAGGAAACCCATAACGCTCCTCGAATAAAAATATTCGTTTCAGGCGAATTCAGGTGAAAGAACAAGAAACAGGGGATAGAGTAGAGCACGTACGCGCAAGAGGAAACGAAAGATCGTTAAGAGAAATTGCATTCTATAAAAATACAAAGGACATACAGAAGACACTTGCGCAGGCCGTTCATGAATATTCTTCCTCGCGTCTAATTTGACATTACGGAAATTCAAGTTCTTTAATTTTTCCTGCTTTCGTGCTTTCAAGGTATTTTCCACGACGAGCACAGACCGAGTGCAAAAATACTGTACTACAGTATACCGAGCAAGGGTTAGTAAGGATCTCCTGGAAACCTGAGAGTATTTCACAAACTATGTTGTTACAAGACACAATGGCTAGTAAAACCAAAAAAAAAAAATGAAAAAAAAAAATCACAAAGAAACGCCCAGTGGTAGTTTGACAATAGCGACAAGGAATTGTATCCCTCGGTTCCCTCCACTTTAGCCTAGACTACCTCGTGTGCAGTATTCACTACCTACTTCCTTGCCGCAGCTCCTTGACGAAGCATTCTACCGACGCCAGTCCACTTCCTCTGGAAGTTGGCTAGCTTTGTGTGCACAGTGCTTAGGGTCACGGTGGCAGCACTGTCAGAACCACGATGCGAGAAAGTGTACAGAGTGTCGACTCGGAAGCTTACGCGACATCCTGGTAGAAACTCGATCATTATTTACTGAGACAGGATGAAAAATAATTAAAATTTGCCTGCGTGTTTTTTTTTTTTTTTTTTTTTTTTTTTCAAAATTTCTCATAGCCGTTCCTTCTCTTTTTCAGAGACACCACTGACCACCGAACGACCCACCACCCGTTCTTCCACGACAACCTCCAAACGGTCCAATCCTACAGACGCGCCAATGCTCAACTACATATTCGACGTACACAGTACCGTGAACAAGCATCAGCATTATCATGATCATCGATGGGGTCCATATTTCGAAGGTGAAAGTCAGAACATAACTGTACAGGCTGGAGCGACCGTCAAATTGGACTGCAGAATATCTTTACTTCAGGACAAAACTGTGAGTCTACGCGTGTCGTATGTAGATTCTAAATAATATATTCATATGCGAAGCGCACGATGAGGTGGACGTATTTTGGATAGTTTCTAATGGCAGCTCGGTTGAAGCTACTGAAATTACGTTTTAAGGAAATGCCCTATGGGGAGTGCATCAAGTGTCGGCATGTGAATATTTAGATTTTTTTCCTGAAGCGCCGCTGGAGCTTCCCGGGCTAATTTTGTTTAATTATGTTTTTGGCGTGTCTCTCGTACTCTCGCGATCCGAAAACTAAAATCAGGCGGGAACTTTTATTTATCGTGGTTACTCGAACGAGGAGTCGTTAACAATTACGTGTCGTTGAATAATGTACGAGGCTTCGCCGATGGATCCGAAAGGACGTATCGGAAAGCAGCAACGATTGCTAATGGAGCTTTAACGGCTTCGCTGGTCGCGCGTAAAGTACTCCGAGTGTGATGGGAAAAATCTCGCGAGAATTTCAAGACTAATTATTCCATCTGGATGCGCGTTGTTGGCGCATAAAATTGCAATTAAACGTTAGCGACGACGTCAAGTTTACGAAATCGGATTAACAAGGGTATAAGCTCCGCGTTGGAGCGCAGGAGTCTGGAAATGCGAGGTAATCCGAGAGGGGACGAAATAAAAAAGTTTGAGATAAAAATGCGAAAGGCAGACGTTTCCCATACGTAGGCGCGGAAGAGGAAAATACAAAAGCACCAAAGGCTAAAGTATTATCCTGAAACTCGTCCCATTAACTAACCGGTGTCTGCTTAGAGCGACCAAATTCACTGGGACGCATATAAAGCCGCGTGGTGTGAATTTATAAGTGGGAAATATGCATTTTCGCGAACGCTGGCGATTACGCGAGAACGTTTTATTGAATTTCACGAATTTACGAGAAAACTACGAAATGCGAAACGCAGCCACTCGGAGTGCGCTCCGATTTCTTCTCAGTCCTTCTGTTAATTGGTCCTTTATTATCTATCGGATTACGCGTATCCAGTTCCCTAAGGGATGTCCAATTTGTTGAAATCCGATAAAATAAATACGACCTACCCGACTGTCAAGTAAAAACTTACTAACGAAGAATTTCGAAATTCTTCACGACGATAAACGTCAACGACAATGAAAAAACATTACTGACTTTATTCTGTATTGACAATTCATTTTTGACATTTCACGTCTACCTGTTACGAGAAAACTAAACAATCCATTTTTTCTTACACCAAAGTTACACGATCGACCGAGTCAGGACAACCGAGTACCTAATTCTACTGCATCACGCATCACGATACGTAACGACAAAGTACATTACGCACAGGAGCGTGACACGTTAGAACATATCGTAAAGTACATATAGTCTCCACCGGAAGGAAGTGCCAAATCGTGCAAGAGATAACAAATAGGGAAGAACGTACGACAAGGGTAGAAGAGGGTAAAAACGTTGGGGGAAAAAATGGCACAATTAGCCATCAGGCTCGCCAAGCCGTAAACCAATGAAAAAAAAAAAAAAGAAAAAAACTGTAGATTAGATGAAGTCCGCGAGGAGGAAAATCCGATTTAACAGCTCGAGCAGGAAGTTAAACTTAAGCGTGCTACATGTCAAGTAAGTTCCTTGCGGTATGTTCTCTCTAGTTTTGTAGAAGTTACGACATGCTTCTCAGGTTGATACGACTTGCCGAGAGTCTCTCGTTTCGGGGTGTTGAAGACGGTGTTAATAAAAAAAATAAAAAAAAAAAAAATTCAAAAATAGTCATGACGAATTTCTAAAATCCTTCTTACCGTCTACCGTACGTTGTTCAACGCCTTCTAAAGACACTCAAGATCGAAAAAGGTCCTTTCGTATTCTGAAAGACGATTGACCAACCGTGCGGATTGAGAGCGCAACTTTTGGTTTCAGGTCTCCTGGTTACGCAGACAGGAAGACGGTGAAAAGATGAGCCTGTTGACATTTGCTCAACAGACGTACACTGGGGATTCGAGGTACACTTTGGAATTTCAGTATCCCGACAACTGGCGGCTACAAATCAAAGACGTCAACAGCAGTGACGAAGGACAGTACGAGTGTCAGATTAGCACGCATCCCCCTAAATTCATACACGTCAACCTGCACATAAACGGTAAGCACTTGTTGCTCTGGACGAAATTAAGAAAGAAAATTGATGCCGATCAGCCAGCTGGGATTCGGAATATTTTTTAATTCGCATTTGATCTTACGGTGTGTTTAATGGAGTTGTCTTCTGCTATGGGGATTGTGTACAGTGTGTGTTTAAGAGATTTAAGAGTCTTACGAGGTATCAAGGAAATTACCTTCCAGTGATAGGAAACCTAAGGGCAGATTACTTAAATAGGTAAACAGACCAAATGCTCGTTAGAGCTATTCCAAGCTGTTAGGCGTTATTCGCTTCTGGGCATGGTTACGAGAGAGGAATTCTGAAAGGACTTCATTTTCCCATGTAGCAAGAAGCAGATGAGATTAAAGTCCGTCGATTAGTGCTAAATTATATGATCTTGGAATGGTGTAACGATGCGATAAGGAAAATGCCCGAGAGTGAAAATGGCTCGAAATTCTAAATTGAGCATGTCAAACTGTTTTGGCGATATGAAAGTTCAAGGGTTTCCGGTTGATTTCCGGGAAAAATGTCTGGCCCTCACTTTTTTATACCTTTGCGCCTAATGTCGCTGAGAGGAGGACGCAGAGACGCCGTAACGACGCCTCGTTCGACGCCACGTTACGACTGCTTTAACCCTAATTGCAGCTCGAGGAAGTCTAGATAGGCAATAAAAAGTTAGTCACTGTGGCCATTGAACAAATTAAAGAAATCGAATTGAGCGGAACGAAGAAAGGAGAAAAGGGCGGTTGAAGGAAAATCCCGAAAAAACGTTGTGGCTTGGGTAAAAAAGAAAATAACTATAAAATTTCGGGGATTCGACTCTACCAAGTAATTATGGAATGAAATCCGCATGGAAGGACAATCCAAGTTTTACCTAGTTACCAGAAAAAGAGTATCATTTATCGGATTATACCGGTGAAAATAATCTTACTGTCCGACGCGAAGATATATTCATCTACATGGGCAAGGAGCCAATTCCGGACTGAGCTAAACTGCTCCCATCCACATTGGGAAAAAGAGTTTCTTAAGCATTAAGCAGCTGAGCGCGGACGCACGTTCGTTTTCTTGAAACGGCCGACATCCCTCTTCTTCAGTCTATTTATGATAGCGAGTGAATAAACTCCAGAAGAATGAATTATGGTCCAGGATTCTGAGTCTGATGAAAATGAAGGAATATACATATATACGTATATCCCATGTAACCAGCATTGGCAAATAGTATATACTATACATGGTTCATGGTTCATGGTTCATGGTTCAATCGAGTCGCAAGAAACTCCCTTAAACTTTCGCTGACCCTTGTCATCCGAAAGTGGTAACCTTGCGGGATCAGGGAGAAACGGAAATTCGTTCAATCTATCGGAAACTCATTCAGCGGACTTGGTCCTTTCTCGGTCAAACAAATTTCAAGTTTTTCTCGCGGTAAATTTGACTTTCGATGTGGACTCCTACGAGTGCGTTTATTCATAGGATTTTCACGGTTCAATGTTTCCGAAAATTTCAATGTCCGTCATATCGCCATGGAGTCCAATAGATCTTGAAAGAGGTAAGGCGATTTGAAGAAATATAAAAAAAAAGTTCTCCTGTCCCATACTTTATGACTGCTTCAAATTGAATATTTTCTCTTGGAAATACGTAAAAAAATGTTTTCTACCAGACACAGTTTGTCAAATATCAATATATTTCGCCCACGTAGAACGTTGCTCTCTTATCACGTAATTCAAAGGGACACGATACCACGAAGCATCGAGAACGAATGGCTTTTGTCGATCAATGAAAATTCCGCGAATATACATCGTGTATTAATTTAACTAATAAAAAATTTTCAAAATCGACTTAATTATTCCCCAGACGAAATATATGAATTTTGTATTTCCTTGTACGGCGAAGCCACGCAGCAAACGTCCACGTACGTCAGAGAAGCCTCGAAAGGGGAAGTAAAGGGACACCCCCCTTTCTCCTTTCATTCGATATCAGCCCGAGAGCTCCAAGAACCGAGGTCAGGTTTGCTCAGGACAATTTCATTCGAGCTCACTGAGACGTTTCAGAACGGGTGGAAATAACGAAGCACGTTAGGATAAAGCAGGGTGGAGGAACCCTCATCCATCTCTAGAAGAATCCCAGAGTTGAGATCACATCACTCAAGTGTGCACAAGGATAGTTTACCAATATTCGTCCCTTTGATCCGTAGGAAAATGATACCGGAAGAATTGAAGGTGAGGAAAGTGAAGTCGAAGCTTCTAAAAAAAAAAGGTGGGAATACCGCTCTTTAGGAAGTTTCTTAAAATTTCTCATTCGTACGTAAAACTTGCCCGTAACTTATAAATTTTCAAAAGCCGCATAATAATAATTCTAATTTTTCTCACTAATGGGAATCCATTACGTTCAAAGAAATTCGTCATTATCGGATGCTCGGAATAAATACAGGAAACACGTGGTACGTCTATAACCTGATGTGCTCGATAGAAAACTTTGGGTCGAGCCGTGCTACAGGATTGAGTACGAGAATAGGGAACAGAAGATCGAGTGGGAATAGAATGTGAAGGAAGAAGTAGAGAGCCAGAGCAAAGTTGTATGTTAAATATTTATGAGTAAACGGATATATTTGAGGAATTTTTATGGTGATGAAAAAGTGACAAACACAACAGACGGATACGGGACGTGAACTCCGAGAAGAAGAGCAGAGTAAAAGGAAGATAAGGGGGACGATGGGAGATAGCGAAAGAAAAAATAAGAATATCAAAAAAAAAAAAAAGAAAAAGATGAGAGAAAGATTTGACAAGTTCGGTCAATTCCGAGTCCATAAATTTTCACGAAAATGGATTTTCGCAAAAGCAACATACAACTGCGATTTTAAATCTAAATTCAAGTATATAAGAAGGTATCACCGATCGATTACACGACCCAGACCTACCGTGGGCCAATAAGTTGATTTTTTTCCATATTTTTGAAAAATTCCTGCTTCCAAGAAAAAGCCAATCCTCTCTCTCGTTTTTATTGACCCAACAACAATTTGCCTCCAAGCTATAAAACCATAAATAAATTTAAAAGAGTCCTCGATACAGCACAATAGAAGGGGAAAAAAGCATCAAAAGAATTGTACATGACATAAGCAGAGCTTAAAGGAACTGAAAGCCCTTTAAAAAATTCATGTGGCGTAAGAGTAACCTTAACTCGGTGGTCATAACGATAAGTATGTAGAGCACGTGTGCTTGGTCAGTACCATAGTCAGTGCCCACTGAAATTTTTTCAACGGCACTAGACAGACGCTTAAGAATAAATGAATATAACGAGAATGAGGTGATAGCCAATCACGCAGAGGCTCCGTGAATTACACGGCGTTAAGTTAGTCACACGGGAAATTGACCTTCTCTCGTTTCTGCGCCAGAAATCCAACCTGGTGAACAACAGTAGTCGAGCGACCACCACGTATTCCAAGCTGGACGAGTTTTATTCCATGTTTAGCGAGACAAAATCAATATCGGAAAACCCTTACCGGCTAGGAAAGAATTCACGTTAGCACGGACTAGCTATGGATTCGAAAGGAGTCGCTTGCTAGGGGTGGTTTTCCTTGCTTGCTTGGTTGCTGCTAGTGAAAAAGGACGAAAATAGTCAGGATTGGATAGTGAAACTTTCCTGGAGTCGACGAGCCGGCTAAAGTCTATACGCCTGCGGACTTATATTATATATATATATATACATAAAGTCGTGTATACATATGTATGCACGTAGAAACGAAGTCCTCTAACGTGCTCGTAGAAGAAAAGGAATATGCTATATATATATATATAAAAAAAAAAAATAGTAACGGGGTCTGTTGAGTAAGACATTTTGAAGTCAGCAAGGATTTCGCGTGAGCCAGAAAACTTTATAGAATTTCACGTGATACTGAGAAAAGCTTTGGACCAGGTGAAATTTCATAGAAGAATTTACGTAGGTAAAGAAAAAAGTGTAATTTTCCTAATATTCTATTTATCGCGTCATTTTTTGGTCTATCTCTGTTTCAGCGCCATCCGTACAAATAGTCGACGCCATGGGCGAACCGCTGAGGGACAAATATTATGAAGCCGACAGCACAATCGAATTACTGTGCGTCATCAAACACATAGCTATGCAAATGCAGTACAGTGTGGTGCAGTGGCTACACGATAACAGAACTTTAAACTACGATACCACAAGGGGTGGTATAAGGTGAGCAGCTATCGTAACGTATTTTCCTCTCCACCGCGAATCAATTCCTACGGCAGCGCTCACTGGCAGGAGTTGATTCAGCTGCGGAATATACAAACGGTTCAACATCCATGCTGGTCCAAGTTTTCTTTGACTTTCCACCCCATTATAAAGTCATTTTCTGTACAATAATAAGCACTAGTTACGCCATCTGGTGTACATGGTTCGCTGGTCCATGATGCTGCTACCCAACCGTGGGATAACGTAGTAGCCGTAGTAGCTGGATTTCGAGAACCGCCGTTACCGCTTGGCCTATAGTCCTATTACAGAAAATGTAACGGCTTATAATGTCGTTGAAAGTAAAATTGGCAAACGCGAATTTCAAGGATTATTTATAAATAAATCTTCTATCTAATTTCCAATCAGGGATGCGCTCATCAGTTCACCTAGATTTTATTTATTTCACGTCACCGAACTCAATTTTGGAATTTAACGCAATTCATCGAATAGGAAAGTTGTTCGGCATGCAGAATTAATCCTGACTGAGACTACTTACGGAAGTTAATACTATCCCAATTCATAATGATATTGCTTCATGTTCTACTTGGAGATAACTCCATTGGCAATACTATGTCGAACTATTTTTTTTTTTTTCCTTTTGTTTACGTGTCCATAGAGCCTATAAAGAGAGACTCTATGCCGACGAAATATCCTACTTGGTAAATGGGTCGAGTTGGTAATAAAAAATCACAAACTACACTTCAAGCATTTTACCAACTAAAAAGGCAACTGTAAACGATGAGAAAGTGCACCTCCCATAGGATTCTCAAGGACAATATTGCAGCAGGAAAGAAATTAAAACAAAAGAAAAATACGTGGGAACTCAAATAGCGGGGTATAATAACAACACAGCCAAGCCGGTTATACAAGTTATTAGGTTAATAAAGAGTTTTATCGATTCGACAGCATCCAGCAGGTTCGCTAATAAAATCAGTATTTTTCTAATTATTAAAAAAAAAAAAATTCACTTTAACGTCCGTCGATTATCTTCTGAACACTCATACATAATATATTTTCAACTGGATACTTTCAACAATGGGTAGAATCAGAATTATAAGATAATAGAAAAACTCAAAATCCAAACGGCAGCCACATACTACAGCGTGCTACAATTTGAGTGACTAAATAATTAACCTCGAATAATAATTAAGTCTCGAAACTGCTATGGCCCAATATAATTTGCAAAATTATTTAAACTTTCGCAAAACTTTCCGACTCTGTACAACCAAGAACCCTCTCGGTGAAGTATCAACGCAAACGTCCAAAGCGTAATATCGATATGGGTGAAAATAGCAAACAACGCAACCGTGCCAAACAAACCAACGTAATTAATTCGCTGAGGCAATAATACCAAATCCAATAGGAATAACCAAGCACAATTCATCTTAATGGTGTGTAGTGGGTTTGTATGGAACGCGTGGCGACGCCAGTGGCAGTTTAATGAAACACGATCAAATTGTAGCAGCCACTTTAAAGTTATAATCTAGTATCAACAATTGGACTCTGGATGGGAAATGACTTAATAAGGGGAATGGGAGATTTGGCAGGGTGGCACGTTGAGAACACCAAAATAAGACGGAGGCTGAGAGCGAACTCGACGAGAGTTCTCGCTGATATGATTTCCCTATGTTTCGGAGTACAGTTAGCATTTTAGATGGCGGCGCCACTAAGTAAGATTACAACGGAAATTTATACGTGTACACGTCGTATGAGACTTAATACTCGGAGTACATATTAACACTGAAAACAGACACACCCAACACCTTCATTGGCTCGTGTCAAAGTTTCATGGCTGCTTTGAGGTAGAAAATCGATATTGGAAAATGCGGTTTATGGAGAATTTCGAGTGAGTTTCGGGTCGTTTTACAAGAAAATTACAGTATCAGTGTTATTATATTCGAAAGCGAATTGATAAGTCGTGTATCTACGCACGTGTGTGCGATTGCAAGTTTGCTCTCTGTTTCGCTTTACGTTTGATCAGCCGACCGACAAAAAAAAATAGTACAGCGAATATATTTTTCGAGTATCACATCCTTCGCTTTACGAATTTTTTAATTTGCTTCGTTACGAATATTGATCGGCGAGAGGTTTGAAAAAAAATAATGCAGAGTGTTTGACGATTTAAAGAAAATTCAACAGACTATCTTCTCAGTATACCTTGGAAGATTCAACTGGTACCCCGGAGACGTGTACATTGAAACGTTAAAAAAAAGATCGTCTCGTCTATTTACGTTCCTACATTTTTTTTCCCCTCCCTTTATTTTCATTTAACAGCCAAGGAGTCTCTGGTATTTTCTATTCGCTAAGGAAAAATTATACGGGTGAATACGATGGAGTCAAACGAACCGAGGAAATCAAGCGGAACGACGTCTTGGATACGACTTTCAGAATAATTGTCCCATTTTTAAACGTGGACGTTATTCTCTCCTTAGTCTGAGCGATTACCAAGGACGAAGAAATTTGAAAGAAAATTGCAAGCAACGAGGCTACTGGCCTCCTAACAAGGAATAATTAAAATTTCATGAGAAAGTCATGAATCGCTGGTCCAAGAATCAGACGTGGTTTCCTACTCTTCATTGCATTGGTGCCTCGCGCAAAATTCATCTCACTTGGCTATACAAGATTGCTAGGAAAAAAAGCACCGTCCTGGCTAGAGCTACAAATATTCAAAGTATTTTCCCCGGACAATTACGGTTCTGCTACAGTGATACGGGTCGGAGGTTAGAAAGTGAGAAAATTTTAAAGAGACGCAAATGACACCCTCGGCGAACATACAGGAAAAACCATCGTGTCCCCTGAGCCAGTGAAAGTTTCCCGAACCATTTCAACATTCAAAGTTCGATAACCAGGAATTCGTTTTTGCTTTAGCACCGTTAGATATATACTTGAAAATTTCTTTCCGTCTTCGTAAAATCGCATCTTATCTAAAACGAGGGAATGTGGAATCAAAGTTTGACATTACTTCAAAAGTGCTTTCTGACTCCTATAGTACAAGAATAATTAATAGTACCTACGTAAGCACGAAAGATGCACAGAAAGTTTCATAAAATCACACGGCCAAATTGCATTCCGATTACTAATTACTATACCAATTAATCAGTTTCTTATCCGAGTAAATACGAGGGGAATAAGAATTTTCCCACAATTTGTAAATTCGTCTGTGGATCCGGAGAAAAAGATAAATAATACATAGATAGAAAAAACACCACGGTACAAAACGAGTCTTATGGCTTCGAGTAACGGTGCAAGTCAGTGATAGCTGGGAAAAAATAAAAAAAAAAAATAAAGCAGAAATTGACCAGATAGAAATTAAAAGCCGTGACACGTAGCCTCGTTATTTTAATATACAGATAAATAGGCTCATGGCTAAGCAGCCAGGAGCAGTAAGTACGCGAGGCATGGTAACAATACGAATGCAAACATTGCCTGGTTTCCATGGAGTTTCGTCGGCGACACACGGACAACAAATGCAAATGCTGTTTGTTCGAGTATACGACTGTCTCCCAGCATCCAGTTGGATATAATGAATGGACAAATTGTGGGAAAAACTTTTTCAATTAAAGTTCCACGGTGTGTTGCGCTTTCGTGCCATTGGCCAGCAAGCTTTTTCCATGGTGCAGGTATAGGGGGCATCGCTGCACAAATCAGCCAAACATACGTAAATTTCTGATACGAGTTACAAACCAAAGAAACAGTGCCTATGGAGCGGAGCTTAATTTTCCCACTCGTTACTTCTTGCTCCTGGAGCTTGCAAGAAGCCGAGAGCTGTTTCTGGTGAACAATTTGAAAATCCATTTATTACGTCTGAAAAAGCAGTGCGAGTACTACCAGGCTGGTTGAACAATACAAATTTTATGTTTCAGCGTAAAAACGGACCTGATGGAAGTGGGGGCTAATTCCACCCTTAGCGTGGCAAGGGTCGGACCGTCGGATAGCGGAAACTACACGTGTCTACTGACAACAATGCCAGATCAGCCTGCCACGGTCCACGTGCACGTTTTAAATGGTGAGTGGATGGACGAGGAGGGATGCTGTGCCCTTCCCATCGTGTAACAAGTAGTTGAAAAGCTGCCTTGTTTATTGCACAATAGGGAGAACCGATTGTAGGAGGGAAAAAAAAATTATTAAAAAAAAAAAAGAAAAGAAGGTAAAGACGATAAGGCATAGCATATCACGGGAAAAGCTCTATGGCGAAGAGCTTTGTAAAAGCACCAAGTACAGAATACAAAATATGCATATGGCGTGAAACAAGAGTTAGCCAAAGACTGTGCGTGCCACAATGGGTAACGCCAAGGAAAATCGGCCTTTGTTGAAAGTTAGGAGGCGAAGCACCGTGGTCCTGGAGTTCGCCGACCCAGACGGGATGACAGGAAGATAAAAGGCCGAGTTCGCAGGGGTTAATAAATCCGCGAAAGAAAGGCGATTCAACGGCAACGGCAACTTTTAGCTACCTTGGCAAGAAGAATGCCAAGTCGTGTCGTACTGTTCGTCTCAAATAAAATGTTAAAATCGTTCATCGCCGAAAGACCTCCCTCTTAAAGACAGCGGAACAATTTCAAATTGGAAATGCATTATTCGGCCACTTGTATAAATCCGTTCGATTCGCGATCGACGATTGACTCTTGCTAACGTCTACCCTTGCAATTGCCCTAGTCCGTACAGAATCCGATTGCCCAACTAAAAAGAGTAAAAATATTGTATAAAACAGACGAGAGGCGACGCTATGAAAATAAAAGAGAGAAATTGAGACATGAGAAACTAGGACAAAAATACTATAATTGTTACGTAACACGATCCGGTCAGAGTTTATACTAGCACAATGAAATTGTCTTTCACCCCATCATCTCGAGTATGGACCAGTTTACAAAACAGCCTACCGGCCTACTGAAATGGTCCATCAAAGGGATAGTCGTCCGGGAGTGCCAGTTGAGAGTAGCAGAGTAAGGGGAGTATGGGGAGCAAGGGGGAGTAAGGGGAGCAAGGGGAGTAAGGGATGCAATGGATGAAGAGTGCTTGAGTGTGTCTCTTTGTTTCAGGAGAAAGTCTAGCGGAGCTGCATCACGGCGTTGCCAGCAGGCGTCGCGGCGCTGACACCAGCAGCGTGATGCTACTCGTGTTCCTGGGATTTGTTTTATCCTGCCTGGTGCCGAGATGAAGAACCGACAATGGCGCGCATTAAATAGAAGTGCTCGAGACGATACGAACGAACGAACGTGCGAGCAACCTAACGAGAATTAAATGAACTGCCTCGCGTCCGGGAGTGCTTAGGACAATGCGGACTTTTTATATCATTGAGAGTGGAGAACGGCGTCAAAGCGTCACATCAAAAATGGCTACCGGAGAAGAAGAAAAGAGAGAGAGGGAGAGGGGGAGAGAGAGGGGGAGAGAGAGAGAGAGAGAGAGAGAGAGAGAGAGACCTTTCCTGCACGTCCCGTCTTTCGTATTGTCCATTCAGTAGCAGGGAAGAGAAGCCGCGCGCAATACATCATTTGCAATTCTCAGCCTCGAGTATTTACGTGCGACGAACTTCAAACATTACAAGCACAGATCTATCTCGTGTAAATGTCCCACGAAAAACAGCAAACAGGACGAATTCTTTAATTTATCAGTACATAAATAATAGCGTCAAGGGTTAGCGGCTAGACTTCTTCTCGACTTCGGAGCACTGTAGGTTCAATCGGAGCAAAAACTCCCATTAACGAGGATATTGTCGGACCGCGGGAAGCTTTCGCAGGAGCATGGAACTTGCGCTTGAGAGAAGGTCAAAGCTTGCGAATACAACTCCATTGTGCTAACTTTGATATTTCCTCCCGTGTGCTTTTCGAGCTTTATTCAAGCGGCAAGGACCGTACCACGGACAGAATGAGAAAATCTATAAGCAAGCTAGGTCAATCAATTTATTCCCGCCGACTTTTCTCCTCGAGCGTGTCTCGCGAGCTTTTTCCGAGATACGCGAGCTTGCGCGGCACTCCAGGAGAAATAAGAAAAATTGAGAGAGAACGTACCGGAGGTCTATACCAATGCGCGTGCGGTACGTGTGGGCACGTGTCTTCCTCTATCGCACTGGCAAAACGCTCGAGGAAAAGCACAAGGTCTGCTTGCGGAACACTTCGCTATCCTAACTTGCTTTATAGCTCCCAACGGAATGTCTACGTAGTGTACCTTACGTTGGCCAAAGAAGCACTTACAAGTTCAGCGATGCTCGAGTCCGTGCTTTATTGAATCACGCGAGAAAGCCACGTGGCCGGTCCTGCGACACGGTCCACGTAGCGGAGGCTGTGACGTAGCTATGACAAACTGCCGAGGCAAAAGTGAAACATTCGTTATTTCGCATGAGCTTCCGCGAAGCTTTTATATCCTCGTGCCACTATCGTCATCGGATACTATCTCGTCTATGCAGATGCTGGAATTCCCATTGCATACATAATGACCCGAATTTGAATTGGGAGCTTTCGTGCGAGCTTTTGATTTCGCAGCGTGTAAATCGACGCTACGTCAACTCGGCACCTTCGCGTAAATTCTCCGTCATTCGATGCCGTTAGTGTTCACGTGTAAAGGACGTGCGAATTCATGAGAACTCTTAATGCCTCCTACAAAGCAGATTCGTTCGAGATAAAATTCTGGCCGATTAATTGAGCGCTTTCTGAGCTCGAGATAAATCACGACCAAGTTCCTCCTATCTGCTCGAGTGTGGCCTGCGAGGATGAGTCGAGGGCAAAAACCATTTATTTTCGTAATATTCCACGGAACGCGTAAACAGCATTGTAGGGAAAAATCGATTATATCTCAACCCCAAGGAGAAGACCTTGGTTCTCGCCTCTACTCGTGGGACTCGACCTTCGCCATCTTCGAGGAGAAGCGTGACAAGCACGCACGGACCTCCGATCTCTCTGGACCTTGCACGAGGTTCTTTCTTGAGCGACGGTTGTGAAACGCGGACGCCTCGCGTCGCGACGGAGACGCCTGTATTGTACGATCCATAACGTTTTCATGATCCTCAAGTTACTCAAGTCGAAAACGTTTTAACGTCACTCGCAAAATCGATGACAAGGCTGTATCTGCTGGAGCTTCGTTCAAATGCACTCAGTGGAAGATTAGCACAATTTTGCATAAGAAAAAAAAAAAAAGTAAGGAAAAGAAAAGTTCAGGGATTGAAAGGTATTTTTTGCGAGGAACCAAAGAATAAGCTAATTCAATGATATTGTACGTTGGCAATAAATCACTTTTGCGCAGACTGCTATGTAAAAGCGAATACGTGAATTTCGCGAATTCGAAGAGATTTTGACGAGCTACACTCGAGGCAAAATGTGCTCAAACGATAAGGTCGAATCGAGGGAGAATCAAATGAGAATAATTTTGCGTTTCGCTTTGACGCTGGTAAACGATTCCTGTAATATTTTTGAAATTCGCTAAGAATTGGCAAAATAAATTAATTTTCAGAGTAGACAGCGGCAACATTCGATACCTAAATTTTCGTTACATATCGATAACCAGAAGCATGCGAGAGGGAATGAATTGTTAACGCGAATCACAATGAAGAGGACTGATTAGGTAAACGGGATCGATTTGAGAAACTTGAAAGCAGCAAACTGCTTTAACCGAATGATCCTACTACAGAGTCATTAACGTAGCGCCGTACAATTTAAGCGATAATCACTTCCACGAGTCCCACGTCACGTAAATACTGTGAGAGGGCATGCTGATTGTATGTAGATACACAATATAGAACGAGGACAAGGAGGATAAGGAAAGGTCGATAACAGCAGGAAAATCCGATAATTCCACGATAGCCTTAATTATCGAGACTCCTTCGGAGCAGCAGCTAAATTTAATAGTGCTTGATCGAACGCCGATTCGAGATCTTACTTTATTTGGGCAATTTCGAGAACCGGCAATTCCGGTAAATTCGGTGGGAAACGGCTGGCGCCGCGACGCGATGTATGACGAGGATCGTAGTCCTGCTGCCTTTGATAGCCCAATAAATTCGAACTTTATCGACAATTCCGCCGTTCATTTGTTAAGGGACTTTCAATTATATCAATTACTAGTGTATAAACTGTACATAAAGTGCGAGCACGTCTGCCGTGTAACGTGACTTGCCGAAAGTCGGCGAGTCGACGAGATAACTAAATTTAGACCAAATGCATCGCGAGAGCAGGGAGTCACGATGAATTAGAATATCTCGATTTTTGCATTAGAAACAATACCGAGGCGAGCTTGATTTTTTTTAAGAACCCAGATTCGTTCCTGCTCATTGGGGACATGCGGCAAGAGGACAAAGCTTTTACACAGGGAGATGGGACCAACACCCGAGGAGTGAATTAAACGAGATGAAAAATAAAGGTTCAAGAAGTGGCCGGGAGGGGGCTAAATTGACATTCGATTCGTCAGACGTAATTTCCAGCGAGGAATCGTAAAATTAATGGCAACGGAGTTGGCGCAACTTTTACGTAAAGCTTCGTAAATCTTTCCGAGCATCGTCTACGCGACTCCCTCCTCTCGAGCGAAATAAACTTTTAAAAGGAATATAGATGGTCGGCTGGTAATGGCCGTGCCGTGCAAAAAGATTATTTGTACCGCGGTCGGCGACGACGACAAAAACCTTCGATCTGCATTGTTGTAATATATCGTATAAAAGGAAGGGAGAAGAAAAATATTACAATATTCGTCTAGCTGTTACATGATATCCTTAACTTTAAACGAGGGACAAAAGCGGCCGAAGGGTTATCGGGGGATTATTATAATTATTGCGCAATGAGGGCCGATCCTCTGGGCGCTCCCGATAAGAGATAGGGTTTCTTATTTTCTAAGAAGAATCGCGGTGTTCCGTAAAGAGATTATTAAGAAATGAAGGATTACGGGGGAGGGGGGGGGTGCCTTGGTAACGCCATCTCGCGGTCCTACGAGGGGATTAAGGGTGATTAATTTTAACGTGGTTCCAACAATGATTTTGCAAATTAGAATATACAGTAATCGGATTTTACCTTTTATTTCAAATATATTGTATGCAGACGTATGCGAGCTCGAGTATAAATATCATTTCGCATAATCGATCTTTCCCGTTTTATTTTCCTGCATTATCTCTGCGGCTATTACGAAGACAGAAAGAGGTGACATCCTAAAATATTGTTTGCCGACTGGAAAGCAAGAACGACGTTGAAATAAAAATGGTGAGGAGCATTCGAAGTGTAGGTATATGGACCTGTGAATCGTTCTCGGTGAAAAGATCAATAAGATTGAGAGAGAAAAAAGTGCTCCAGGCTACTTCTTTTCTTTTTTTTTATTTTTTTTTTTTTCTTGATCAAAGGAGAAACCCCGTTGCTTTCTTTTAAATGGTGATCACTCGCCATCTGTCGCAAGCACGCCGTCGCGAAAGCACAGGCAATTACGTTTATACTAACCGCCAGTGTGACATATGTAATATTAATAATGTGACGACGAAATAACGAAATAAAGACCACTGTTTTTCAAGAATCTTCAATACCTTCCTTTCACCCGAATCCAAATTCCATTTCAAGCAGAATAAAACCGTTCCATCCGATATATTTTGGAAAAATGCAAACTCGGTCAATTATCTATACGACTAATTGCGACTTTCCAAGAACTTTCTATTTTCAAAGAAAAAAGCTCCTTGCCATGTCGAAGAGAAATTTTTAAAAAATTCTCATGGTTCTTCAAGAGATCACAAAAAATCGTCAGTAACATTAAATTGCTTCTCTGAATCTTCTCTCGTAAAGCAAGCTTAAGGAATTTCCATCAGGTTAAGAAGCTTTACAAGCTACATAATGAAAAACAAAACTGTGAGCCGACCTCTGCTTTTTGTAAAACCACCAAATATTCCCTAGTCCCACGTATACCGTAAGACCTAAAGTCTATAACGAGGAATATTATAAGAGGGGGGGAAAAAAAAAGAAAAAAAAAAATCTTCACAAATTATCATACCACAACGAATGGAGTAGCAATAAAAATGAGAGAAACTCCAACTTGTAAAGTTAATCCACTTTACCATATCTTGCCTCAGCCATCCGAGATCTTCTCAATCGTCTGAAAGCTCCACTGAGCTGTTAAGGATCAATTTAACGCAATATCTTTTTCCAATGTTATCAAATGGTACGTCAATACCCCAGACGAATGTTTATACGCGTCTATACGCAGTCAGCAGCTCCGAGTGTGATGCATAAATGTATATTTCATCGAGACACTCGTTTAGCTGGGAAACGGGGAATTGGGGGAAAGTGAAGGACAGAGGGTAGACTTTATACAAATCGGCGTATTTAAATAATCCCGAAGAATAAGGAGCTCGGGAGGGTCTGCTATGGCGCAACGGGAAATGAAAGATGAACGAAGCTTTGAAGAAGCTTCGCAACGTGGAAGGGAAGGTCGGAAAACTAAGAAAATACGTTAATCGGTTATCATCCGTAAGAAAAGTTTCGTTCAAGTCCATTTGCAATTTTGGACTGGACTTGACGATTTCTCATGGATCCCCAGCACATAAGCCCATTACCAGTTCGCGAGCAACTTTTAAAAGAGTGAAAAAGCTCATCGATCTCCTTGAGATTGCATTTGAAATATATTTTAAAATAAATTACATAACAGTGGCAAAGCTTTCGGCTCTGCTTGTAAAGTTGCTTTTGAATTATTCAGCGATAACAGTCAATAAAAGGAACAAAGTGAGTGTCCATGTATTTATAAATAAAGAGAAACTTCAGGCCGATAAAGAATATTAAAGTATCGCTGAGAAGAAAGAAGCAACTTTGACCATTAGATAGTATGTCAAAAGTTGCAAACTTTTTTTTCTCTCCCAAACACCATTAAAGCTTCGACAAAACAAGTTCCCGCCAACGCGAATTTACAAAGCTCGGGAAGCTTCGCACTGTCGGTCGATCGAACCAGTGCGCTTTGCCCTCTCCGAGGTTACCTGCAAGATCGTTCATCACTCGCGAGGACGCTTTTCGGCGAAATTCGACCGCTACGCCACTGTGAAATTCAAGACCAAACTTATCGGGAGCTCGGAGAATCTGAAAACTATGCTCGGGTTAGATACAACGAAAAAAAAGTAAAACTCAACTTTACAATCCCGAGTGATTAGAACTCGAATCTTGAAGGCAGATCGGCTTAGACCCTTTTACGATTTACTAAAGAGTAACGAAAAAAATAATCTTCACGGTAAAAGCAAAGAAATATTTTCACTTGAAATTCACGTTTCGTCGGACATGGCAAAATTCTTCGAGCACCTCAAGCACAGACTACGACAATCAATTTTGAGTTTTAAAAAAGCTCTGCCATTCGAAAAGGCACATATAGCTTGTAATAGGATAAAATATAATTCGCAGAGCGTTCCCTGCTTGCACCAGCGCAGATAGCCCAGGTACAGGCGCCACGACCTTTCCACTTTGGCCTGCATGATAAAGCGTTGCATGGCGGAATGCAATTTCGTGTTTTATAACGGCTGTCCGCTGGCTGATAGCACATCGAAGGCTGAAATATGGATAAATGGTTATTGTTGATTGTAACAAATTTCGTGAAACGACTCGCGGCTATTCCCGTGCGCGCGCGAACGCCCCAATAATAATTGCGAGGCATCGAGTTTTCCCGCAATGATTTTACAGCCGATACTAACGGCGTCTCTAATTTCAAAAACGAGGAAATTAAATAATACCACGCGCGTGGCTCCGATACTTTGAAAAACAGTTTCCAATCATTTTCCAACAGTGGAAAATGCCTCTATATCGATTTTCTTTCTACTGCCTGCCTCGACTCTTAACTGTTTTATTTATTATTTTATTTTGTTTTATCTTACGTAATCGGTCTACGGGGTCTAGCACTGAACGAAAATAAATTTCATTTCTTTCTCTCTCCATTGACTCGACGTCCCATGAAAATCAGCCGCATATAAACCTACGATCCTACTATTTACACCCTTGGCGTCCTATCGAAAAATTCTGCTATTGGAAAGTACGCAGGCGGATAAAGGCCAATCAGGACTGACCGATAAAGCGTAATCGCGTTACGCGATAGATTCGAGCCTCTCGTAAATTTTATGTAGTTTACCTAGGGCGCCCAGAGGATTTTTCAGAGAGAAAAAGTGGGTCCGAATAAACACAGTTACTTCGGAATTCGTATGATTGCGTTATCGTTGCTAGGCAGGCCTTCCCGCCTATATTTTTTGATAAGAATAATTTTGAA